ACATACACACAATAATTATTTCAAAGTTACTGTAGGTGGTATATTTGTTGCTCAGATTAGGTTTTTATTATTTTATCCCACATCTGAAGCAATGGAATGAAAATGGTTAAACTGAGACTGGTATTTCTAATTTAATATTTCCTTTTCTTATAGAGAGATTTATGGTTTGGTTTGGTTTTCTTCTAAGCTGGAAATTCCAATTCTTCTGTGTTTCTTATGGTTTCTGTAGAACGTGTTCCCTATCTTTGGGAAAAAGGAAAGAATAACAGAAATGTGATCTACCAACCTGTACCCTCCACCCGGTCCCTCATCACACACACCTGACAGGTGTTCCAGGAAGGCTCTTTTCAGTCAAAGCCACATTACCCACAGTGCAAATCAATATTTGAGTAGCACTTATCAGCAGCTTTCTCAGGCACTAGCTCATCTTGTCCTAGGTGATAGAGAGGGAACTACAACATTGTTTGGTTCATTGTTTTAGTAACCTATTGTAACTGGGCAAAAGGAAAAGAAGGATTACACAGTCAGGCAGTGTTGACTCAGACCTATCTGAGGTGTCTTTGCCCTGGACTTTTTCTTCTGTCCAGATGGCCCATCGCTGGAATATTCTATGCCTGCTTTTTCCTGTTCCAGCTATCCACCTTGCCTGTGAAGTATCAGGCCTCCTGCAAGCAGGGCCAGTGGACACTCACAGATGCCATGTGAGTCACTACCAATCCTGAGGTGCTGAGGGCCACAAAAAAAGTGTTGGGAAATTTGATTCTGGTATAAGATCATGAGGCCAAGAACCGAGAACAACCAGCTGCATCTGTCAACATTCAGGGCCAATTTCCTCCCCTGAGAATCTCTTGAACTCACTTCCAGGATGCACAGAGAATTTCCTCTTGCAACTTGAAGAAAAAGACTCAATTTCTTCCCTTTCCAAGAAGAAAGGAAGGGGAAGGTCAGCATCATCTCATGAGCAGGTGGATCTTTATTTACAGAAATCCCTTAAGGGACTTTGTTTAATAGAAACAAATTTTTACCTCCTCATGGACCTCCTTAAACAGGAGGTAAAAATTGGGCCACTCATTTTCATATTGTCTGCACACAACAAAACTCCTTTTCCTGGAGCAGAAAAAGGCACAGGTTACAGAAGGCCCCAAGGGTGGGCAATCTAAATAGATTAAAAAGTCCAGAGTGAGGAAACTTCAGCCTGGTCTCAGTCAACAATGTCTGAATGTTTAATCTTTCCATCACTTCATCTTGCCCAACTAAAAAAATACAGAGGGAGGGTACATGTGTATGTGTTTTTATGTCCTATGAAAGTAAGCCCCTGGTTTATTTGCTGAGTACTATTATTTATTTACTCATTTTTTTTTGTGTGTGTGTGTGTGTGTAATGCTGGGAATCTACACTAGGTCCTTCCTCACAATAGGCAAGCACTCTACCACTAAACCACACACCCCCAATCCTGCTGAGTACTATTTAAAATGTGAGAAATTTTTCTCCATTTTGAAAATTTCTTTTAATGACTCTGTATTATCTAAAAATCTGAGGGGTTTTTTTTCTTCCTCTTCGAAAAATATGACTATGGTTATTTCAAGATCCTACACTGCTTAGCCACACTAGTTTGAAGAGCACAGGCCTCTCACAGCCAGGTCATGTGCTGGACAGACAGGCAGCTCCTCACAGTTCCACCTCGCCCCAGGGAACAAATTAATTTATCCCAGCCATTGATAGCCTGCTCTCTGTGGGCTTTCAGGGAGGAGAGTGGGGAAGACTGACAAAAAAGAATTCAGCCCTCAGTAGAATAAAACTCCAAGAGATTGTTAGGATCCTAGAGGAAAGGAGACATGAGGAAGAATTTGAAGGAAGCAGAGGGCTTAAAAGGAGGGTGAGGAGGGCAAGCATTAGAGAGCTGACCAGGGACAGAATCTTTATGACTCAGAAACTTAAAAATGTTGAATGTTTACCTTAAGATTGATTCCAGTTCTGTGCTGTTATAATCTTCTCTGTATATTCAGAAACCAGATAAAATTTATTGTGCATGATAACCTAATGTTAGTGGATCTTTCAGGAAACAAACAAAAAAAAAGGGAGGGGAGGGGGTGTTATTCCAAGGCAGGGGACTCAAAGAAGACAAAAAAGTAACAGCAGGACAAGCAGCTTCAACCCAGTCAACCTCTTGGGTTTTGGAAAATGGGTAAAATAATATGAATATGTATTTACATTTGAGAATGCATAGGAAAAAGATAAATTAAACCATTGTAGTTGGGTTAAGGCAGAGGGATTATAGGTGATTGTTTTTCTCCATTTTGCAAATTTCTTTTAATGACTCTGTAATTGATTTTGGAGCAATTTTTACAGCTAGCAGGTCATGCAAAAGCTATTCAGTTCACTATCTCCCACCAGCCTGTCTTGGAACGCAGAAGACAGTCACAACCACTGAAGCCTGTGGTCACTTTTAGACAAGGCAGAGCTTGATTCCTGATTCACACCCCCCTACACACACATACCTCAACACCACCCCCCCAAAGGTGAGGGTGCTAATTATTGTAAGCTGGGAAAGCACCTTGAAGGCAAAAGTGTCTGTGATCACTCTGAACACTCCTTTTAAACTGCTGTAATGGCATATGCCACATAAGCAAAGCACAGAACCTTATAACTAGCTTGTTTGTGAAAAGATGTCCTTTGTCCACAGGTCAAGTTTTTAAAAACACCACCCACTCTATTGGCATACCTCTCCAGGGCCCTGAGAGAAGTTACCAGGGCAGCTTCTTGAAACCAGCCACCCCTGGCTTCACTTTGATCTTTCTCTGTCTACACCCTTGCTTCAGTTCCTCTACTACACACACACAAAATTACTAAGTATTATTATTGCTTGGTAATAACTATAATTACTACAACGACTACCAGAAATGGAAAAGACAGGAGAAATGGAATTCTCATATGTTTGAGCTGGAGAATCTTTGCTGCAGGAAAAGTCTGTATGCCTCTCCCATTCGTCCTCCTAATTACTGGAAGCAGACAGGCCAAGGGGAGTCCCCTCAACGCAGACAGCTTGACCACTCAGGGACAGGGGCCAGGTTTAGAGCTCCAGGAACCGAGATGTAAAGTCCTCCCAGGCTCCTAGAGCGGACCCGGAAGCGCAGCGCGGTCCCGGAAGGCGAGGTGCTGACATACTTCCGGCCTTTGTGACTCATTGTGTCTGTGTGGAGGCGTCGGGAGGGCCTGGGTCCGTGTGCGGTGCCCTTCGGCCGGCCTGAGCCCCAGAGTCAGCTCCCCTTTCTCGCCCAGCGCCCCCAGGCCGCTCCCGGGGCACACGGTGAGACTTGGGGCCGGCCTCTGGGGAGGGCGGGCGGGCCGCAGGGGGGTGTGCGTGGGGTGGGCGCTCCAGCTGCGGCCTGGGGACCCCCTCCAGCGGCCCCGGCGGAACGCGAAGCGAGTCCCTGCCCCTGCCTCCTCCCCAGGCCCAGCCGTAGGAAGCGCTATCTCCCGGGGAGACGCCCCCGCCCCACCCCCGGCACCGGGCGAGAAGGGGTCAGGGTTTCAGTGGCCGGGTCGCTCGGAGACCTGGGGAGAAGCCGTGTGAGGGCCCCTTCCGGGCCCCTAGCCCGCTGTGTCATCATCCTCACTTGACGTTTCTGAGGACGGGGTCGCTATCGAACTGACCCTTGTCTGATTTTTTTGCTCTCCGGTTGTCGCCATTTGCTTTGATTCCGGTGAAGGGTTTGGGGGTTGGCTCTCCCCCTCCCTCTGGGTCCTTGAGGACCTTGAGGTGAAAATGCGGAAGGCCGAGAGCTGGACACGTTTCGAGATGCCGCAGACGTTTACAGATCACCTGCTTTTTTACCCTTTCCCCTCCGCACCCTCAACACTGAGCTGTGATTAAGAAGTATTTGAAGCCTGGTGAATAACGACCTAGTAGCGAATCATAGACAAACTGCTCTCTTTTAGGCTTATGGAATGCTTGAAAAGCACTTAAAAATAAGTCGTCAGGTTAGGTGGATTTTTCAGTTCATCCTGCTTGACTTGGAGTGGGTGAGGAGTGAAGAGAATTTGTGGAAATCACACTGAGTCATTAGGAGACTGATTCGCTGAGTGACCTTGGATAAGACAAAACATCGTGTCTTAATTTTGTCATCCATAAAATTAGATTTTCTCAAAAGGTCCTTCCAACTTTGAAATGATTTGGTCAATGGAATTGAAAAAATTCAGCTACAGTTTAGCCTGACACTCCCCCCACCTTCCCCTCCCTTTCCTGCAGTGCCTTCAGTACACAAAAAGATACTTTCATTATAGAGAGTGGCTGTTACATGGACTGGAACCAAAGAAAGCATTTATTGTACCGGCCAGTGCTAGGCGGATTGGAGGCGGTCAATAAATACTTGTTGAATTGTGGAGAATTCATTGTAACCACATCAACAAAGCACTGTTAATGTATATTCTGGCTAAGTATAGAGAAATAGCTTTATTAGGTAGGGAACTACAATGGAGATTTGCCCCAGAATGTTTTTCCCAGGTTTATATCCGTTCTGCATCACTACTCCAAGTTCTTGTTCATTATTTCAGATAGTTTTTCACCAACCTCAAAATGGAAACAGGGAAGCCACCTACTTAATACAGTCATCTCTTGCTGATTCTCTGGTAAATAACCTAATGCTTGACCTAAGCATTTAAAGATTTTTTTCCAATATTTTATACTACATCTGACTACAAGTAGGCTAATATTATGTTTAATATTACATTTTCATTCTGTGGTAGAATCAGTTTTTTTGATACCAAGTTGTCTTTTAAGGGTAGCTTTTTCATATTTTAAACAATTTGATATCTCTGTAAAAAAGTAGGGTGGAGGAGCAGATTATTGAAACTTTGACTATGCCCTGGAAAAGATACTGGGAGATTGAGAAAACAGCCTTTGAAATAAACTGAGCTTATAAATAACCCAAGATGTTTGATAAAGTGTTCCTTTTTATCCTTGGTGAAAATTGGTTGCTGGAGGTAATCATATCAAGTGAATGGTATGTGGAATCTTCTTCATCTCAGAGGAACTCCAAATGTAGTTTTCTACTACCCCTCTCACCACTTGACTGATAAGAATACTGAATGTCAGACAAAGTAAATAACTCACTTAGGAGTGGGTAACTTCTGTGTGGGAGACCACATTCACTTTTTTTGGACTGTGCTGCTTTAGGATTTCTCCCATTGCTAATCTTTTAAGCAGGCTGAAAAGTAGAATATACAGTTATAACTCTTAACTTTATTTTTTAAAAATTAAAACGTCTCTAGGGCCTACTAGATGCCAGACACTGTTAAAAGTCCTCTATATATGTTAACTCACTTAATCCTAACGGCTCTATGAGACAAATGTCATTTTTTATTCCCATTGAACAGATGAGGAAACTGATGCATAACAAGGTTAACATGCCTAAGATCAACTAGTAAATGGGGAAAAGCTAACAAAGTCTTCCAAATTCTTCCAAGTACCCTGTAGAACAAATTTGAGGGCAAGATTGAATGCACAAGGGGCAAAAGAATAGTAATATTTAAATTTAAATATTTAAGAAAAGAAATGGAACTAATGCTTTGCAAGGAATCTTGCTGAGTGGCATAAGTAGGAAAAAAAACATTTTTAATAATAGTCTGGGGCTGGGGATGTGGCCCAAGCGGTAGTGCGCTCGCCTGGCGTGCGTGCGGCCGGGTTCAATCCTCAGCACCACATACAAACAAAGATGTTGGGTCTGCAGAAAACTAAATAAATAAATATTTAAAAAAAAATAATAGTCTGATTGAGGGGGAACTCAAGAAAAATCCTATTACAAAGAAGGAAGCAGCATAAGAAATTATGATCATGACTTAGGGCCTTTAGAGGCTGACGAGAAGTGGTGTGTGCTCAGGTTATCTGGGGAACCTTTGAGAAAAAACTCACCCTTTCCATAGCTGTCAGAACTCTTCTCTGGCATAAGAAAGAGCAGGAGAAAAGAAATATTGAAGGTAGAGAAGAAGACCTGTCCCAGTTGGGAAAACAGAGGGATTGGGATTTTGCCCATTGTCCTTGTCTCCATCCCTGTGGTCTCACGACCTCCTCAGAGTCTCTTCTTACTGATTGCCAATAACTCAAACAGTGTCTTGCTCCACAGCTGAAACAAGGATAAAATTTTCATAGTAGAGCTTTCTGATAATTGGTCTAGCTAGCTACCACACTAATTCCACTACTTGGTTATCCCCCACTTCCATCGCCGCTTTGTCCCCTCTTAGGGCCTCAGTCACACAGTAACTCAGGTGAAAATAGTAGATGGTAGATGAGGCCTATTCCTGAGCAGTCACTCTTTATAATCACCTTCATAGTGTTTTCTTTTAGAAAGGATCTATGTATCCAGAAGCCCTTCCTTATCCAACATAAAAATGGTTTAATAGCTTACACTTAGAGTCTCAAGAGTTAATTTCAAATCCTATCTCTGCCATTTACTTGCTGTGCAACCACAGGTGAGTTATTTAATGTCAGTAAAACCTCAGTTGTACCAAGTGAGGTGATAACTGTGGCCATTGCTTAAGATTGTTGGGTGGTCAAGTAAAGTGCTTAATGTAATGGTATTTGGAAAGCACTCAGTAATGCTGGCTGTTACTAGAAGGTTCTTAAGCGGTCATGAGGGGCAAGTGGCATTTCAGCTTGGCTTTGAACAATAAGTAGAATTAGAAAAGGCAGAAATGGGGGCTGGGCATATGGCTCAGTTGGTAGAGCGCTTGCCTTGTATGCACAGGGCCCTGAGTTCAATCCCAGCACCACAAAAAGAAAAGGCAGAGAGGACTGGGAGGAAATTCCAGCCTTTGAGTATGATTCAAAGAAACAGTGGCTGCCAGAACACAGGGCATCAGCAAGACCTGCTGATTAGACTCATTTTGCTGGATGGGAAGGGTTTTTGCACACAGACTGCAAGGCTAGAATTGAGATGAATAATCTGAGAATAAGGTAGCCAATGAATTATGGGAGAGTAGGGAGCAAATGAAGACAAGGAATCAAAGAAGACTAGATCAAATAGTATAACAGACTTCTCTCTGGTCCTAGGAGAATGGATGCCTAGAATGAGGGAAGCAATCAAAGGTGATCCTGAGTGATTGAGATATTAGCCAAACATCTCTAATATCTACTAATTGCTATTAATATCACTCATTGCCACACTCTAGGTAGTAAGAGGGCAGAAGGGAAACTGGAATAGTTCCTCTTGTCTATCTGTGCAGTTTAATTCAATAACATCTGTATAGAATTAAATCACCAGGTTCCCTAGGTAATAAATACAAAAGAAGATTGGAGTCACTGACCTTGTCCGTGGAGGGCTTCATTGGGAGGTGACAGACAGGAACTGCAACTCAAATAATGAGAATATAATTGCCTTAAAACAGAAACTGCTAAGGATGTTCAAAGGAAGAAGGTACCTTATTTAATTTGGGGTATCAGGAAAGATTTATGCATCTTGAGCAATGAATAAAAATTCAACCAATAGAGTTGGTACAATGGGAGAATGTTTACAGCAGAGGAGTGAAGGTGAAGGATATGGCCCATGCTTGGGAGCATTGATGGACCGCAGAGGCTGAAACACAAGGCGGGTAAACTTGGAAGAGAAAAGTGGATTGTGTTGTGAACGTGGAAGCTCTTGAACACTGAATTGGTAGCAGTACTACACAAATCTTGGTATGTATGTTGTGTGTATTGGGACAGTGGAGAATGGGAGGTAGAGAAGCTATATGGAGCCCAGGTCCTAATCTAGGTGAGATAGGGATCCTGAATTAAGGTGGTAGAAAGAAATTCTGGGAGTCACAGCAAGAGAGTCTTTCTGCTGTTCATAATGAATTGAAGAAGAAACTATGGCTTCTGGGAAACATTTTGCCTCCAGCTGGGAAAAAGCCAGCCAAAGGAATGATCTTGGGCAACTCCAGTCACTCACTGCCTCTTACAGAAGCATCCTGTCTATTCTCCATGTTCTAGGGGACCTCCTCCTGGAAGTGCCTTTCTTGTATACCTGTCAGTTCTCAGGGCTCCCCTAGCACTTGTATTGAAACCTTAGAACATTCTTTTTTTATTATTTGCATAAAAGAATCATGTTTCTCATCTTTTTATTTCCTTTGGATTTACAGGACACTTTGAAGATTATTTAGGAAGTGAAATAATTACAGCTGAAAGGCCTTTTGAGGGAAAGCTGATCTGGAGTTAGAAAACCAACTATCCCAGCAGGGAGGGTGGGGTGCACAACAGGTCTGAAGGCACCAGTGGGAAAGACTAGAAGATGGTTTGTAATAAGATATTTACCAATTCAAAAATCATTGAAGAAATTAATTAAGGACATAAAGATGAGGTAGAAAAACTAGTCTTATGATAATTCTCAAGATTGAAATAATAATTTTTGTGATAAAACAGTCATCTCAGCTAGGTGCAGTGGCACACGCCTATAATCCTAGTGGTTTGGGAGGCTGAGGCAGGAGGATCGTGAGTTCAAAGCTAGCGCCAGCAATGGTAAGGCACTAAGAAACTCATTGAGACCCTATTTCTAAATAAAATACAAAATAGGGCTAGGGATGTGGCTCTTGGTGGTCTAATGCCCCTGAATTCAATCCCCAGTTCCAGGGGCGGGGAGTGGGGAAGATCATCTCCAAACTTCGCTTTCCATACAGCAGTCCCTCCTTATCTTTGGAGAAGATGTACCAAAGATGCTTCAACCATGTATAGTACTAAACCTATATATGTTGTTATTTAGGTGATGCGGTTTAATTTATGTTGGGTGCAGTGAGATTAACAATAATAACAAATGGAGTAATTAATTCGTTGCAATAAAGTTTGTTTTAAACTTAACGAATTGTTTATTTCTGTTAATTTTCCATCTTAAGTTTTCAGACCACAGTTGATTGCAGGTGACTAAAACCACAGAAAACAAAATAGCAGATAAGGGGGACCACTGTACATTCCTATCAGTAGAAACTATAAAAATTACATACATGCACTGTTCTACCGTTGTTTTGTATAATAAAACAAAATGTATGAAATTGTGCTATTAAATTACCCTAAAACAATTTTTGTGTTCTTAATTGTATATAACCCCTTTTCCACCAGAATTGTTAATTATGTTTTAGGCAAGCTGTGTAATTAAAAATGCTTTTCTAAAAGCTAGGGATGTAGCTTCGTGGCAGAGTGCTCCCTAGCATGCTCAAGACCCTGGGTTTAATGCTTTGCTAGTTTAAAACTTTGTTTAATTTGCTGGGATACAGCAGTTAGATGGTCTGTTTCTAAAACTTCAATTTGGTGCTTAGTTTTGTTGTTGTTGTTGTTGTTGTTGTTTTAATGTAATTTTAGACCTTTATTTTAGTTATTTATATGTGTTGCTGAGGATCCAACCCTATGCTTCATACATACTAGCTAGGCAAGTGCTCTATCACTGAGCTACAGCTCCAGTCCTGGTGCTTAGTTTTGATAGCTATGGAGGTGAAAGTGATGCTTCACAAAGGTTTATAGAGGTGGAAGAATCGCACACATTTGTTCAGGTCAGTAAATCATGAACCACCATCCATACTAAATATTTGTTATTGAAATTCAGAGAGTGCATTTTCATTTTCCATGACCTTTACTCAGTAGTCTGCAAATTAATCAGAAGGTTGGGCTTTATTCATTTTTTCTTTTTTCACGTCTATAAGATTTTAAACAGGTTAGAAAGTAGTTCCACGTTTTTAAAGAATGTATATACAAAGATATTTTCAGTATACTTTTGGTATCATTTTTGGCACTTAGAATTACATAATAATAGGAACACTTGTGTATCTATTCCCTTAATTGTTTTTACTGCACTTTTTTTGAACCAGCTGCTTTCTCACTCACTGGTGAGTTTTTGTTTAGATTGATTTTAGTTTTTACAATGTAATCCGACTAATACCTCCTCGCTCTCCATAGAAGCTTCAAGTGTTATTTTTTTGTGTTTGCATCATGAGTATTTCCTCTTAATTGTAGTCTCTGCAAGAATCTTTAAAGTTGCTGGTCTTTTTTATGAAGGTGAGGTTAAAGGTAGACAGGAGAGGGGCTGGGATTGTGGCTCAGTGGTTGAGTGCATGTTTCATACATGTAAGGCCCTGTGTTCAATGCTCAGCACCACATTAAAAAATAAATAAAGGTGTCTATCTACATCTTAAAAAAAAAGAGAGAGGATGATTGATGATTTCGAATAAAAGTAATAGAAATCACTAGATGATATATTAGCAAGTCCTGGGGCTTCAATTTTGACTTCCTGTTGACTATACTGGGTATTCACCTGCTACCAAAAAAATAATTTAAACTGTCTTTAAGACTCGGTTATATCATCCGTCAAATGGTACTAATAATGCTGCTGGGGTTGGTGTGGGGACAAAAGAAGATTGTGCATATACTGTGCTTAACCTGATACTTGGCACTCTGCTAACTCAGCCCTCTCCAGGGTAAGCACCGTAAATGCAGCATTTCATAACCTGCTGGCCACCTGGAGGGAAGTTGCTCTGATTCCAGGCAAACACCCTGGGGGTGAAGGTTGCCTGTTTGAGTTTTCTATTTGCAAACCTTTATATCTGGAGTGACAGTGAAGACAGCGTGGCTTTGTGGGGTTGTTGGTTGGTTTTTTCCTTTCCTTTTTTCTTTTTTTTAACTAGGAGTTGAACCCAGGGACACTTTTTACCACTGAGTTACATTCCAGACCTAATTTTTTTTTTTTTTTGAAGCAGAATCTTTTTAAATTGCTGAGCCTGGCCCTGAACTCAGAATCCTCCTGCCTCAGTCTCCCAAATCCCTGGGATTACAGGCATGTGCCACAGTGTCCAGCCTCAGAGGCATTTTAAGTGCCTTCTTGATGTGTAGCCTGGTGTGAAGATTAGTACAGGTCATTTTTATAAAAGTGCTAATAACTTTTTTCAATACTTCAGGAATAGTACAGAAACAAATATAAAGCATCTTCTAGGACAGAAAAGCCAGCACAGACCCGGTTTTCATCACGCCAGTTCCCTGCGCCTGAATGATGACTGCTGAATCAAGGGAAGCAACAGGTCTGTCCCCGCAGGCTGCACAGGAGAAGGATGGGATTGTTATAGTGAAGGTAGAAGAGGAAGATGAAGACGATCACATGTGGGGGCAAGATTCCAATCTGCAGGAGACACCTCCTCCTGACCCAGAGATATTCCGCCAGCGATTCAGGCGGTTTTGTTACCAGAACACTTTTGGGCCTCGAGAAGCTCTAAGTCGACTAAAAGAACTTTGTCATCAGTGGCTGCGACCAGAAATTAACACCAAGGAGCAGATCCTGGAGCTGCTGGTGCTGGAGCAGTTCCTTTCCATTCTGCCTAAGGAGCTTCAAGTATGGCTGCAGGAGTACAGACCCGATAGTGGAGAGGAGGCTGTGACCCTTCTGGAAGACTTGGAGCTTGATCTGTCAGGACAGCAGGTAAGGTTGGTGTGAGAAGAGCATGGACTTTGGAGCTAGGAGAAAATCACTGATTTAATACTCATATTAAGAGTCTTTGTGGTGATTATTCTTCCTGCTCTCCTGGGCTCTTACAAAGTATTTGGGGACTGGGGGTAAGTGTTTGTCGTTAATGAGGCTCCAGTTTCAGTCCGTGGCAATCCCCAAAAATATGTGTACTGACCTCCTCTTGCAGCTACTCACATATTTATGGTCTTTGTTTTAACATTTTAAAAATGATTTACCCACAAGCTCAACCTGATTATCTACAGGTCCCAGGTCAAGTTCATGGGCCTGAGATGCTTGCCAGAGGGATGGTGCCTCTGGATCCAGTTCAGGAGTCCTCAAGCTTTGACCTTCATCATGAGGCTTCCCAGTCCCATTTCAAGCATTCATCACGGAAGCCCCGACTCTTGCAGTCCCGAGGTAAGAAGCAAGGTTTCATGCAGTGAGAAGCAACTGTTCCAACATGAAATTGCCCTATCCATGTTGTCAAGTGCCTGGGTAAAGAAGCATCCTTTTTATTGTTATGCATAATTGTCGTTGTCACTAAATATTAGGAAAGTATAACTCAGATCAGTGTCAGGAGTTAAATATGGTAAGAGGTAAGTAAACTGCATAATGAACTGGGCGGACATAACATTATTTATTGATTTGTTAGCTTTCAAGATGTCTGGCAGATTTCTATTTTTTTTCATGCAGATTTCTAGTCAAATATTGGGAACAGATGATACACTTCCAGCTAGGTTTTGAAACATTCTTATGTCTTAAATTATCTTTAAAAGGAACATAAATCTTTTTAAAGACTCATTTAAAATGTATAAAGATACCATATGGCATGACTCTTTTGTTATTTTTGAAAATTTCAAACAGAGGAAAACATTTTTTTAGTTGTGCAAATGATAAAAAAAAATCAGTTGAGGGTCTTATTTTAAAAATCTGTTTTATTTTTTTTCCTTTGAGGGAAATATATCTTTATCCAAATTTAGAATCAAGCAGGTACATATGTCAGTAAAATCAATGAAATGCTAAAAGTACATAATTCAAGAAGTTGATCAAGACACATTACTTAACCAGTGTGTGTGTTCGTGATGACATCTAGGGTGGAAATATTAGATCATGGAGCTTAAAGGGATGTTCTCTCTCCCATGCATCCTAGAGCACAATCAGCAGACATGCTGGAGAAATCTACACAGACCCATGCACTAATGTTGAAATATACCCTTCCAGGACTTGTGGGGTATCTTTACACTCCATAAGTAGAAGTCATAGAGAGTGACATTAGGAAACTAGAGAAGATATTAGTGGTCAGCCCACTAAATTAGCACTTCAGGTTGCCAGAGAAGCAATTTTAGAGACCCAGTGCAGAGTTGTCACTTAGTAAATCGTTCTTGAAAGACTTGAGACATACATTTATTCTCAGTTTTTCCTTTGTCTGTTCATCTTCCAGTGTTTCCTTACTCTCCAAAGATTTCAGTTCAAGATTCTTGATATTTTTGTGTACTTTGCGTTAGCTCTTGTTATTTTACAATTGGAAATAATTACAGGGTTTAGTAATTCAATTTCAAAATCATTTCTGTAATTAATACCTTTGTGGCTCAGTACCATCATCTGTCTACCAGTAACATTTCAGTAGTACTTGGCAAGGGGAGGAAAGAGGGAGCTTAATATTACTTTTATCATTTAAATTTTTTTCTGATTTTTATACATTGCAGCCATTGTGATCATATGATGTGTTATGGATGTCTTTTATTATGTATGTCATCCCATACCTCATACATTCATAAATGTCTCATCAACATTTGAACCATGTATATATTTTATTTAAAAACTTTATTATAACCAAGTGTGAGAAAAGTAGTGGGACAAACATAGCAAAACTTACCTAGAGGTAAGAAGACTCCTGTCTTACCTTATTTTTCTAGATATTACTATGTCAGATTTTTAAAGCTAGGTTGCATTTTTTTTACAAACGTAAGCACAAATGGGATTCTAATATCCTGGTACTATTCCTTAGGCTAGAGGAAAGTGTAAGTCAGATTTGAAACATGATTTGAATGTAGCTGAGACTAGAGTCCTCCCTAGGTTCCAGACCTGGTTCCCCCATTCCTGAGTGACATTAGAAAAGTTATTCACCTTCTCCAGGCCTCAGTTCCCCCCTTTTTAAAGTGGAAGGTTTGGACCAGGTGATTTTAAGGCACTTTTATGACTCCTGTGACTTGCTTAAGAGTAGAGGTCTCAGGAAAACTCAGGTCCTGCTTTCTTTCATTTATGTTCTCTGGAGCTCTCTACTCAGTAGTTAAACATGGAACAGTGAACTTGCTGGTGCAGAAGTGAGAGCGCCTCAGGCCATCAAGGGAGGCTCTGAGCAGAGCTGATTCACTCACAGCTCCTTTCTCCTCCCTCAGCTCTCCCTGCCACTCACGTTCCTGCCCCTCATCACGAGGGGAGTCCCAGAGACCAGGCGATGGCATCTGCACTATTGACAGCAGATTCCCAGGTGAGCTATGGGCCCCTCTGCCCTATTGAGTCCCCATAACTGCCTTCTCCTCCTGGAGCTCCTCTTACAGTCTCCGCCAGGCAGTCATTCTTGATGCCCTACCACAGAGAAGCCCCACTATCCCTCTTTGTTAGTTCTTGCTGCTGCAAACCCCCTCAAGCCCACAAAGCTCTGGTCACATGTTCTTCACCAGTGTCCTGTAGAGATGCCATCAACTCTGTCCCTGACTCTAGGTGTGGGCAATGGGACTGTCCCTGAGATTTGGGAGAACTGAGTGTGGGGAATCTCCTGTTATTTCAGGCAATGGTGAAGATCGAGGACATGGCCGTGTCCCTCATCCTGGAGGAATGGGGATGTCAGAACCTGGCTCGGAGGAATCTCAATAGGGACAGCAGGCAGGAGAATTATGGGAACGTGTTTTCCCAGGGTAAGACTGATGCAGGATTGTTATCTGATAAGATTGTTTTGCTTCTCTGTTAGTTGTGGGAACTCTCTGATATATTCAGTTGAGTGTTGATAAGGATTTTTAAGACTACTGACTATCTTTCTTCAGAACAGGCAGGGAGAACCTTTGTGCTTAGTGAACTCCAAAAGCATAGTACTGTGACTCCCTGATTCCCAGTGTATTTTTGCTCTTTGAAATCAGAAATCAACTCTTGTGCTCTGAGCCTCATCTCTTCAACCACTCATTTACTTGAGAGAATTTCGGTTCCCTTCCCCAAGGGCCACACTTTAGGTTCCTCTGTCAAGGGAATATCTTTTTCCTGGTAGAGATGGCCAAGTAACTGATTATCAGTCTAATCCCAGCCCCTTGTCCTGGCACGCTGTACCTGAACCTACCAGGCACCCTTCTATGGGCTTCTGTCTTCTTCCATTCTGTGAGAGCATTGCTTGGAGACAACTTTACATTATCCCACTAACTTGCACCTGAAGCTGTCTCAGGATCAGGTTCCCAGTTTTCCAAAACAAATCGTGGTCTTCCACAAAGAGCTCTTGAGTAAAAGTGTGTAGTGAATAAAGAAGTGCAACGGGCATCAGACAGATAAGACAAGGTGATCCAGCTGCCAATCATTCATGTGATCTCTGCTAGATCTTAACCCCTAGGAGTTAGTGCCACCAAGGAACCCTTAGATATGTACAGTAATAGGGAAGTTCACAGCAAGACTTTATCTTGGGAGGACAGGAATATTGAGCAAAGGGTGAACATAGAGTATCACTAAAAAAAACTCAGGTTTTATTTAAAACCATAGATATATCTGGGCTTTGTAGTTTCTAGGTACTTGCTCTTTGTTCTAGATGGAAATTAAGCCAAAGACTTGATCTGTTTTATTAGCTGTTACTTGCTCTGATAACTTGAAAAAAAAACTTTTAGTAACATTCTGGGAACTGGCCAGACAGTGAATGATGTTGATTTGGAAGTCAAAATGTATACCAATTTCCTCTTCATTGTAATTAGTTCTGTATTTATGGTAGTTTCATCACTAAAGTCAGAAGCTGAATATTATTTAGCTCCCCCATCATTGCCTTCAGGGGTCTATTGTGACACATAGACCCTTAAAGCCAAATAAATAAAGAATAGAGATATTTGGGGTTTCCCAGACAAATGTAAACATAAAATTGTGTATGTCTGTTATATAATTTGCAGTCTTCACTTTTTAAAAGCAACATGACTGGGCCGGGGTTGTAGAGTACTTTGCCTAGCATATGTGAGACACTGAGTTTGATCCTCAGCACCACATAAAAATAAATGAAGAAAACAAAGGATCTATAGCTTAAAAATATATTTAGAACAAACTAAAAGCAACATGACACAAACAGTATAGCAACGTACAATAAAAATTAAACTTTAGTGTTTAAATACACTTAATTACTAAAATGAAGGGGTTAGCTCTACATTTGAAAATTGTTGTATCTTTGTGGGCTGTGCAGAATTATTTTCAGTTTCTTTTCAATTATTCATTGTCAGTTGGTGAAGGTTTTTAATTCTGTTACTAGCAAGTGCCCCCACCACTCTTCACTCCATCTCCATCACTTGAGCACAGCTAGTTCTGTGCTGCTCCCCTGGGGGAAGGAGACTGTTCACTGTGTATGAAGAGCCCTGCGACCTGCCAGCTTCTGAGTTGTGCCTGTTAACCACCACCTTTTTGAGAAAATGCCAACAGAACTGGAGGAGTATTTGCTTTTCCTTCTTTCACTATATTCCTTTCTGCTAATATTTTCTAGAAAGACCTGTATATTCTCATTTTTAAAAAACTTACAAATATTTGCTGTAAATGGAACATGAGTTTTTCAATATGTATTCCTTTAAATTAATTATCTGGGAATCAAATAATAGAATTATGACCTCCAAATTCCTTTAATTCCTTACCTCACCCTTAACTGGTTTCTCTTCCCTCTGCCCCTTCCCCACTGCCTGTTTATTTCATGTTCTCTCTGCATGTACCCTTTTATTTTCTCTTCTTTCCACTCTGCTTGCCCTCTCATTTTCCAACTCTACTCCACATTGTCCCAATTTTTTCCTTATTTTTTTTCTTTTTATCCTTGATTAATACTGTGAAGTCATTTTGCAGGCATAGAAGCTTCTTGGAAAATAATGTCACTTGATTAATCTTTGTAGTCAAAAGGAAAAGGTGCTATTTGTATTTTCTATTTATTGTGCCAGGTTGTGAAACCAGAAATGAGAACAAGGAGTCGACCTCAAAAGCTGAAGTCACAGAAGACTCAGCATCACATGGGGAGAAAGCAGGAAGATTTCAGAAAGAGTTTGGAGAGAAACGCGAACATCAGGGCAGAGTAGTAGAAAGGCAGCAGAGAAACCCTGAGGAGAAAACTGGAAAAGAGAAGAAAGAGTCAGGTCCAACTACAGCCAGGGAAAAAAAACCTACCACGGGGGAGAGAGGTCCGAGGGAGAAGGGAAAAGGGCTGGGAAGAAGCTTCAGTCTGAGTTCAAACTTTAATACCCCTGAAGAGGTTCCAACAGGAGCAAAGTCTCACAGATGTGATGAATGTGGTAAATGCTTCACAAGAAGTTCAAGCCTTATCCGCCATAAAATCATCCACACTGGAGAGAAGCCCTATGAATGTAGTGAGTGTGGGAAAGCCTTCAGTCTCAACTCAAACCTTGTCCTGCATCAGCGAATCCACACAGGAGAGAAGCCTCATGAATGTAACGAGTGCGGCAAGGCCTTTAGTCACAGCTCGAATCTCATTCTGCACCAGCGCATCCACTCTGGAGAGAAGCCCTATGAATGTAACGAGTGTGGGAAGGCCTTCAGCCAGAGCTCAGACCTCACCAAGCACCAGAGGATCCACACAGGGGAAAAACCCTATGAATGTAGTGAGTGTGGGAAAGCTTTCAACCGAAACTCGTACCTTATTTTGCATCGGAGAATCCACACCCGAGAAAAGCCCTACAAGTGTACCAAGTGTGGCAAGGCCTTCACCCGAAGCTCAACCCTCACTCTGCATCACAGAATCCATGCCAGAGAGCGAGCCTTGGAGTATAGCCCAGCCTCCCTGGATGCATTTGGAGCATTTCTCAAAAGTTGTGTGTAAAGCAAGAATTTGTCATCAAGCCATTTCCCCCTTTTGTTTCTAAAATTATTTCAGAAATGTGTGCCCATTGAGGGGAAAAAAACAGCCTCAACAGATTTTTTTCTTTTTTTAATTATGATTAAGGATCCTTAGAGTTACATCAGCAGTGTTCTGCCTTTGTGTTGTCTGTGGGCAGGTAATTCTTCCACACAGCCCCTGCAGGGAAAACTGGTCAGATGGGTAATCCATACAGTATTTCCACATAAGATAAAAGCACACACGCAGGAAAACGTCAAGCTTTTCAGTAATGAGGATACCTTTAAGGAGCTCTTTGAATCGCAGCAACCACAGCATAAATTGAAAGAACAAGATTGGCTCTGTGAATATGCTTCTGAAGTTAAGAAGCCACTTGCTGCAAACAAGCCCTACCTGGCCAATATCTTGCTTATTTCTCAAAAAAGAGAGAGTTAAAACAAAAACTACATGGGGACATGCTGCTGCTCAAGCTAGTTATATATCCCATAAGTTATATAGCTGATCACTGGTAGCCTACCAAAGCTATAGAAATCTAGGACTGTGCTGATCAGTATCAAACCAAAGATTTCTATCTCTTCCTGAAAGAGAGGGTACGTGCACCAGTCTACAGTTCCAAAGGACTGCAACAAATGTAGATGGTTCTATCCTCATCACTGAGATCAGTTCTCCTGAAACAGCAACAACAATTCAAAACACTTCTCTCCCTTCTTGAAGTCCCTAAAGCACTCTAGCACTCCTAAATGCATTTCTCCACAAATTAGCACTTGATCATATACTGACTTTTAATCCTTCATTGTTTCATATATGGAAGTTTTTATTCATCCCCCAAAAGAGATGCTTCGGTTGTCAAGAGATATAGTTATGTTCCTGACAGCCCGGCACTGTACCTAGTGCTGAACCCATAAAGAGACACTCCTTATATCCTATATCTGACTTCTAACAGGACTTTCATATTTATGATAAAGCCCTGTGAATCATGAGTACCTGAAATATGGTAGCCTGGCCCAACTTTGAAAGAGGACCTTCACAGCCACACGGCATGCTAAGCCCTCTAGGGCCAATGCTAATTTTGTCCTAAACATAAACGAAGGCACTGATTAGCTGCCTGTATAGACTCTTTCTAAACATGGATTGGTGAATAAATACTACGGAATGTCAGAAATTTACTACATTGATACCATCTTAAGGGAAATGTGAACACTGACTAAGGTCATTTTTTGACATCTTTCCATGGCAAAGATCTTAGCCAGAATTCTCTTCAGTCGGCTGCTGAACAATATGATGATTTAGGCACTTTCTGAATTGTTTGTAACTTAAGATATTATAGTTCAGAAGATGTGTTTTGTTGCTTTTCAGAAAAAGAAAAGGGAGCATTTTTTTTCCACACTTTTCCAGAAACTTTCAAAAAGAACTTACCATCATTAGCAGGCAATTATGAAAGGTAGTTCGTTGCTCTGAGCAGTTCACTGATAGAATATCAGAAATGGTTGATTGTGTCATAGTCATAGTGCACGGTATCTTTTTTTGTTACTCATCACTAAAGACTGAAGTGAGGTTATGGAATTATCTCCATTTGTGCAGCTCAAGTCAGGTGGCTCTCTAGAAGCTGCTGGTGGAGACTGTTTCACATATACAGAGGACCCAAGTATCATGGACTGTGACGGTATCAAGGGTTTGGTTAGAGAGGGCTCTGTTCATGAGATGAGAGCTTTCAGATGGCCATGGATAGCCCTGCAGAAAGCTAGAAACCGGCTAAAAACAAATCTGAAGACCATCAGCATGAACACCCTGTAACAGGAAAACCCCATTTCAATTTGAGATGTTCCCTCAAGAAACAATAAAACTAGCATTTATCAGTCATTTGCTGACCAGCAGCAAAAATCCACAAGATAGCATGGTGGAACCAATGAGATGGAGGCATGCATGGGCTCAGCTCCAGACCACACTAGAATTCTGCACAGCATTCATTCTTGGTCTCTCTTTGGCTTTCTTACTTGGACTAACCGCAGCTTCTCTGTAGCTTCTAAGCAGTTTCTTCAGTGTTGACTGGGGAGACCACGTAAAATAAGTCAGCCAGTTACCAGAATATTTCTATCCATCCAGCTAAAAAAAATGATATATTCTAGAAGAGTATATCTAATTCACTTTCTGTAGAGAAATGAAAGTAGAAATTCATCAAGAATTTTCTTCAAAGAATGAGCCACAGTGGTGGTTGCCTAGAAAATTACTGGTGCTTTTGAGAGGACTTTTGTCCCCTGAAAGCAACAAAATGAAGTGCACAATTCCAGGCATCCATTCCAAACTCTCTGCCTTTGTTCTTAAGAGGGAAAGGACTTTGGTCAGTTTCACATTGGCTTCGCCCCCACTTCCCCCACTACATGCTGACAAAATTCAGCTGTCATTTTGGGATTTTGTTTATAAGTGAAATTTAAATATGACCTGTGCCCCTTCATTTGGCTCCCATTTTATTGGGATGTTCTGCTGGCTGATGGATAGCTACTGGGGTTGCTTCAGATCTTTGGCAGATGCACTCTTAGAGGCAGCAATTTGAATGCTTGTTTCCCGAGAACAGGCTATAACTAGTTATTAAAACCATTTGCATTGCATTCATTTATCAGATGCTCAGTGCAGAGGTGTCATTGGGCCATGGTCAAAAACTCTGGCAACATCTAATTAGTGCTCAGGATAGACATTCAAAAGTTCTTTACTGGGTGAAGTCTGTTAACAGTTGGTACACTATAGCTGACCATCAGCATGCTAGTTGACCTAATGGGACTTTTTTGAAGTTTTTAAAGATACACCTTAACCTTGCCAGGAAGAGAAGTAAAATTATTCAGGTTGTGGGTATTTGTTTCTACTCCAGCCTGACAAGCAAGGCTAAACTTGAGAATATAGATATGTGAGACCTTTTGGTATTTAAGGCACTTAATTAAAATTAAAGTCATAAAGGTAAAACTACTAAATGTGTGGAGAGAGTGACATGTTTGATATGTAGGACGGTTCACATATATGTCAGAGAATTTATTCCAGAGAGGAACCTCTTGAATGTGATAAGTATGGCAAAGCCTTTAATCACATCTCAGCCCTTAGCTCAGAAAGCTTACACTGTAAATAAACTTAATAACATTATATGTGAGGAAAATGTTCATGTATAGCACTCATTGCTTTGGACAGAAAATGAATTCCCTCGGTATGTTCTAGTCATGCGATAAATTACAAAACACGGCAGAAGGAGCTCGGTCTTAACTCCACAGGATCCACAGAAGAAAACAATGTGGGGAAATGCGAAAGAAATAGCAAAATATACAACTTTAAAAATTGTTAATGTTGGGTACTTCTATACATTTTGTATGGCCATAATGTCACTGTGTTTTGTACCTGGACCCCTATTATTTTGTACATTCCCTTGTAAACAGATAATGTATTTTAATTTGACAGAGCACATCACTTCAAAAGAGAGAGGTTTTGAAGTGAGTAGTGAAGAGATTGATGTGGTAATGGACAAAAAGTCAGTTCACAGAACTGAGAAGTGGAAGGATGAAGGGGAAAAGACCTTCATTGTTTGGTGCTTATTGAATCGAGAGAAGAGATCAGTAAATTCATGAGGAGAGACAGGCTAATAGGGCACTAAAATGAAACAACTCCTCTAAATATCTGCAACTTATCAAAAGAGTTTTCAAAACTGGGAAGTTGACCTCTGAGCTGCTGGGTCACTACTGCAAGCAGAGGGAGTAGATGGATTTGAGCTTGTTGGGGGAGGAATTGAATCAGTGAGTTGAGAGTAAGACATACTGCAGTGGCCAGTGGGACTAATAATCTGACCAGATTCTGTAAAACCACAATCTTGCCTCCCCGCTAACTTTTAAATCTTTATGCTTAAAAATTGGGGATGTGAAAACACCAAGATGGGCAGTTTCCTGGGAAATAAGTTGACACTGCAGGAGGGTTGTCTGATGAGTCTCAAGAAGCATTTTGCAAGATTCCCTTGGGCTGTGCTCCTGTGTACCTTCCTTGTCCCCATGCTTCCCTGGTTTGACTGTTAGGAGAGAGGGTTTGTGAAGATTCATAGTTGTAAACATTGTTCTGTTTTGTTTTTTGATCTAGAATTAGTCACCTTCCAGGTAGGCATGCTGGTCCATTTATCCAAAGCCAACTAAACCAGTCCATCCTGACATCCTCATGAAATACTGTGTGAATTAGAGTAAAAGTATTGAAATACAGCCCAATAGTGACAGCAATACTTGCCCCAGGAGCCCTATTTTTGTGCATCCCACTCTGAGTAACTTCTCAGAAATATTTGAGGGTGCTGGGGTTTCCCATTGGGGAAACTAAATCACTGCAGATTAAGTGAAACAGACTCAGAAAAGCAAATTAATTGGTATAAATAAGTTGTTCTATCATAGAAATTAGGGTAGATGTTCATTTCAACTACTGGAGAATTTAATATAAAGCATTATTGTTTGAAAAGTTTTCCTAACATAGATTTAGTTTTCATTTTTAAAATGGACACTCTACCTTTAAAAGCTGTTACTTATTTTGCTATTCAGATTAATTTTTTATTAAATCCAAAAATGAATTTATTTGTTTTGCTTTTCAAAGCTTTGTAAAACAAACTTGAAATTAAAGGGAGGTAAGCCATCTCCTGTTCTGCAGGTCAAAAGTTTGGGAAATAGTTTGGCATCCCATAATATAAGATGTATTAACATGAGAACTTGGCTTCATACTGTCTGGTTCTCTTTACTAGAGGACACCACCAACCCCCTGCTTTTCTCTGTTATCCTAAACGGTAGAAGAAAGTAGTCATTAGGTAATCTCTAAACCATGGTTTGCTGTGATTTTAATAGTTCTTAATCGTGAAGATGCTCACACCTCCATTTACTAAAAGAATCATGATTCACTTCAGCTTACATAGTAATCGGCAAAGTTAATTGGCTTTTGAATTAAATTTTCTCCCCTCAACAAGCATTCAGTAAGCAGTGAGGCCATTTGCTTGGTGATGCAAAGAATGAGGTCTGTGTGGTTGAAAGAGGCAGCGCTGGTCTGGGGCTGGGGCTCAGTGGTAGAGCGCTTGCCTAGCATGTGTGAGGCACTCAGCACCGCATATAAATAAATGAATAAAATAAATGTCTATCAACAACTAAATATATATATGAAAAAAAAAGCGGTGCTGACACTTGGATTTTATTCCAGTTTCAGATTTGGCTTTTAAGTTCCTTTGGTCCAAGGAAGGAACCAGGCATCTGTAGTCACTCTCAATATTGTGCAGTCTCCTGACAAGGTTGGGTATGTTAGCAAGGAGAATTATACCAGCTGGAAAAGGGAGAGAAAAACCTGGGAATGTGCTGGGCTTCCTGCTCCCTTGCCTTTCTCCTTGCCTCACCTGGGTAACAGCATTCAGCTGCTGCTTGAAGTTTCTAGTCTGCCCTAGCAAGGATAAAGCATGTTAGATGTAGAGGTGCTTCTGCTGGTAGCAGGGGTATTATTTGAAAAGATATATGGGGGTGGGGGGGCGGGAGGAAGCAGGTTGTGATTATGCAGGAAAATCCTAAAAAGTGTATGAGTGTAGGGGTAAGGGGTGGGTTGTGCAAGCAAGATCGTAATTATTTTAAAATAAGCATATGTATTTTTATTAACTTTTAGTTAAATATAGATTATTACAACCAGGTCAACATAAGGCTAAATCTATATATAGAGCTAACTCAGGCATTGTCTTATTTGTAGACTAGATAAAACAACCTGTCCTGTCCTGTCCTGTCAGTTCCCAGCTTCTTTTAGAATAAATTTAGACCAAAAGAAGAAACTTGTCTTTGTATACCCGCAGAATTAAGTTATTGCTGTTCAAAATTGGATTTTTCATTTTAACAGTCTCTGAAGAGTCCAGGTGCTTAGTAGATGTCTAATAAATGATTTTAAAATTGAATTTGTTTGCTTACAATCCTCATTAACATTTCCAGAAAGGCTTCTTTCACTAAATAATGACATCTTAGAGGAAAGTGGTTTGTTTAAGAACTAGGGAACTCCTTCACTAAAATAGTTTGAAACCTTGATTGAGGTATAAAATTTCAATCATAAGAGAAATGGCAGCAAAAATTCATAGTGGTCCATTTTAGGAGGCCAGTGGTATCTGATAAATGTTAGAGTAGTGAAGTTGGGAAAGGAAATTGTGGGGATTTGTAATATTCTCTTTGTTGTTTCTCTTCTGGGTCATGGTAAAAACAATAAATTATCATCTCTAGGTGGCAATACTTGTGTTTGGTTTTTCAGATCCACTTAGTCATCATAACTGCACAAATTTGCCAGGTGTGGTGGCACACACCTGTAATCCCAAGGGTAAGGCTGAGGCAGGATCAGGAGTTCAAAGCCTGCCTCAGCATCTTAGCGAGGCCCTAAGCAACTCTGCAAGAACCCATCTCTGAATAAAAAGGGCCAGGATGTGGTTAAGTGCCCCTGGATTCAATCCCTGGTACTAATAGTAATAATTGCACAAATTTGGGATAAAGAAAAAAGTAAAACTTCAAAGTTAAACACTGGAACTGCAACCCACAAAACTAAATTTTAGTTTTTTACATTGTCTATTTAAACAATTCACCAGATTTAGTGATTTACTTCACCTGAGTAGAGGTGAAGCCACTCTAGTTCTCTGTCTCAGGCTCCTTAAGATTAGAGTGCTCAGTCCTCCCCTGCTTGCTTCAGAACAGTGGTGGAATAAATGGGTCAAGGGAACTTCACCCTGTCTTGTCCCATCCTTGAGCAGAGGGCTGGTGTGCGGATGACTTAATTTAAGAAATAATTCCAGAGAACAAGAAGGTACTGGGAAGAAATCCAGTACATATTGAGTTTGGTCACGGGGATAAGTGAGGCCCAATATCCCCCATGACAAGATTGCCTACTCTGGGAACTGCAGGAGGGAGCATTTATTCAAAAGTTGCTCCATGGAGTGACAACTTCCTACTCCAGGTTTGCACACCACGGAGGCCAGGGAGCAAGTGCTGCTGGGTGCACCTGCAAAAACTTCACTCCAATGGCCTGGGTGAAAAGTGAGCTGGGGAGATGCAGGGCAGGATCCATAGTGTCCAAAGCATGATCTGTGAACTGCTTCTCCTCACAAGACTGCTGACACCAAATTGAGGGTTTCCCCACACCACTTATCTCAACAACACCAGATGTCCTATAAGCAAGCAAATGAACAGCCAGAAGGCCTGGTCTAAGGTGGGCTTGGAGAGGTGCATGAAGCTTCCATACCTTCTCTGGGCAGGTCACCCTCCCAGCATTTCACTATTACCCAAGAAGCTTCACAAGCCTGGGGATTGGGAAGTTTATGGAGTTTTCATTATGTAGGCATGAATGGTTACATCTTTAATCATTGGTGATAACACACTCCAGCCCCTCTGTTCCCAGCAATCAGGGAGTCTGATCAGGGGCTTCAACCCTCTAACCATTCTCTGGTCTCTCCAGCAATCAGCACCTATGCTGAAGCTATCTAGAGGACCCCAGTCACCAGTCATCTCATCAACATATAAGTAACACATCTCGGGGCAGGGCATGGTGACACACACCTGTAATCCCAACAACTCAACTCAGGAGGCTGAGGCAAAGAGGATTGCAAATTCAAAGCCAGCCTCAGCAATTTAGTAAGGCCCTAAGCAACTTAGTGAGACCCTGTCTCAAAAAATAAAATGGACTGGGATGTGGCTCAGTGGTTAAGTGCCTCTGGGTTCAATCCTCAGTATAAAAAACAATAACCACCAAAATAACCCACCACCATTCTGGAGAGTCCAAAGGTTCTAGGAGCTGGGTGCCAGGAAATTAGGAACAAAGACCAAGTTGTGGTTTTTTTGTTTTTGTTTTTATCATAATATCATACCTTCAAAAACTCTGAAAACTGCCTGCCCTTGAGGTAGCAAGATCGTATTGTATTTGTCTTGGCTGGTCCATCTGTGATTCTGTAGGACAGAACCTTCCAAATCTGTTGATGAGGGGTCCCTGTGTGAGAGTCTAGGTTGGGCATGGAAAGGACCAGAGGCTCACACTGTCCCCACGGCACCCAAGAGCCACTGAATCATAAGGCTCAGGGTTTACCTCCCGAGACCTCTCTTCCTTCACTCCTGTCCTGTCGAGTGCAAAGCCTGGTAGCTTCTTCTGCTTCCTCCATTCCTGGGCCTGGCCCTGAGAGCTGCAAGAAGGAAAATATGCAGACATGACCTCGTACAATTTTAGGCCACCTTCATTCTTAACCCCTGCCCTTGGTCAATCCTAGTCTCTTGTCAGATTCCCATGTTCCGTGCCCCTCAACAATCTGAGTTTCTCCTGCTCCCTAACCTCACGTGCCTCCCACAGCCTTGCCTCACCCCTTTTCAGTAGATGTCCCTCAATATTTTTTCCAAGGACCTCACCTATCCAAATGTGCTTCCTATTTGCTTGGTCTGACCCAGCCAGCCTGCCCTGCTGACTTCGAGGCACATGACCTCCCTCTTTAGTGCCTCCAGGCTCCTCCTCACCTCTGGACACTTACCCTATGTCTGAATAAGCATAAACCTTTGGTTTTAAGGGACAAAAGCAAATTTTTAAAAATTATGGCACATGCCTATAATCCCAGCTGCTTGGGAGGCTGAGAGGCAGGAGAATCACAAGTTCAAAGGTATCCTATACAATTTAGACCATCTCAGAACAAAATGAAAAGAGCTGTAAATGTACTCAGTGCTTGCTTAGCAGTTGTGAGGCCCTGGGTTCGATCCCCAGCACCACACAGACACACACATACACACACATAAAAAAAATCTTTGGTCTTTGCTTAATCTTTGTCAAGAGCTCTGCCCTTAACATAGACCACATGTGTTTGTATCTTTCCACAATGTCACAATTTATTGAATCATAATAAATTCACAAGCTACATCACTTTCATTGTCGTTAATTCACCAAATACTCATGGTTCACTTGGTAGCAATGATCAGTTTCTTTTATTCCATTACAATCTTAATAATATCTGTAATACTTAAGTCATATATCACACAATGATAGATGGGTTATAGAAAGTCTAAGATAAAGCCAGACATGGTGGCACACACCTGTAACCCCAGCGACTTGAAAGACTGAGTCGGGAGGATTGCAAATTGGAGGCCAGCCTCAGAAATTTAACGAAGACCCCTCTCAAAATACATTAAAAAGGTTGAAATATGGGCTGGGGATATAGCTCAGTTGGTAGAGCACTTGCCTCACATGCACAGCACCCTGAAAAAAAAAGGTTGAAATATAGCTCTGTAGTAAAACACCCCTGGATTCAGTCCCAGGTACTATAGATAGATAAATAATGCCAAGTTTATCTGGCTCCAGCAACTAGTTTCTTTTCACTACTGTCTCTTGTCCTCCTTTATGAGCTTGACGATGCTCCCATTTTCATCCATCACTACTGTGACCCCAAATTATGTTTATGGAGCATCTTTGCATAATGGTTAAGCACACAAGCATTTGGAGCGGCAGCAATTCAGATATTCAAATATGTCTGGTGCTGCTGGAGGTCCTTGAGGAGGAAGGGAATTCGCATGGGGAGGGCTAGACCAAGTACCCATTGTGATCTCCTTTCACTTGGGTTATGCAGACCTTTTCTGGGTTTTTTTCACAAACAAGAGAACAAGTCAGCAAACTGTTATTACAGAAGGAAAAGGTCTTGGCAGGATATATTGCTTTTCTTTTTTTGGGAGAAGGCAGAACAGAGGAAGAATTGAGGTAGATGGAGCCACATCTATCCCTGGTAGATTGACATTAAAAACAGAAAGGAGATTGGGCTGGGTGTGTAGCTCATTGGTAGAGCTCATGTATGAGACCCTGCCTTCAACCCCCAGCACCAAAGCAACACAAAACAACAGAAGATTAGAAATAATATCATAGCAAAGTGTTTTGAGGATTTAAAATCCCTTACTATTTGTGAATGTTGTTTCTTTACCAAGCCAGTTAACTCTCACATGCATGCTATAATTAATCTTTCTCCAAATATTTTAAAGTTGTGGGAACAGGCAATAATATGTGCCCATTTTTCAGATCATTAGATACCCAGATCTTCCAAGTTTCATTGGCAACAGAATTCTGGTTCTAAGGTAGGGGGTTCTGACAGATTCTTTACTTGACCAAACTTTAGTCAGTTTACTAAATCTTTTAGACCCCACCTGTGTACTTCTTGTAAAATTCTGTTTCAGCAATAAACCCTGCTAAGTCAGTTTAGCTGTAATCTGTCCCCCCATTCTCCATATCTTATCTCCTAGATACCTGATTGAGTTCCTCATCCTCTGCCATGCCCTAGGTGATGTCTGATATCCTGGCCTTTGTCCATAATTCTGTTAGGTTGCTTTAGCCAGAATCCTTCCTTTTTTTTTTTCCTATATTTTATCTTTTTTAGCTACACATGACATTACAATGATCTTGGCAATTCATACATTTGAATCATTGGGGTATAATTTCTCATTTTTCTAATTGTACAGATTGCAGAATCACAATGGTCATAGTCACCTATATACAAACATCTTTCTTACATCTGATGTTTATTCTTAGTAATTTTCCATCCAATTATCCCCGCCCTCTGATCCTATAAATTCCCACTTGCCAATGCTGCATTTGGAGTAAGGCCCAATCTCTGCCTTTTACTGCAAAAATCCCATTTCAGTAGTCCCTATTGGTATCAGTCCCCAAATTAGGTGTTCCTTGCTGTACTCTAACAAGGACTCAGTAATTTTTTCTTTTAATATTTTATTTTTTAGTTGTAGCTGGACACAATACCTTTATTTCACTTATTTTTTTTTTTAATGTGGTGCTGAGGATGGAACCCAGGGTCTTGCATGTGTGAGGCGAGTGCTCTACCGCTGAGCCACAACCCCAGCCCAATTTTTTTTTATAGTTGTCTAACTCTAGTTTTATTCTCTTTTCATTTTCTTTGGCAAATGTCTTTGCAGCATTCCAGCATACTGTATCTGTGAACTCTTTCTAGGAAGAAGATAGGGAAGTGTTCAGAGTTGCAATAGAAGGGAAGCTTGCCTGGCTGTGTTCTAAGAAAAATCAAGTTTTGATCACCCCCTACTGGGCAAGCCTGCTGATGGCAGCAAAAATAAATGTGGAAGAAATGAGCGAGGAAAACTGAGAAAAGAACCATTTTAGAGAAAAACATGACCATGCTGGAAAAGGAGGAAGGGAGTCAGGGACAGCATTGAACATGGGTAGTTTTTCCCCCTTTTGGATTTCTGCTACAAAGGGCACAG